AGCACAGGGAACTATATTCAATATCTTGTAGTAACCTATAATGAAAAAGAATATGAAAGTGAATATATATGTATATGTATGTCTGAAGCATTATGCTGTACACCAGAAATTGACACAACATTGTAAACTGACTGTACTACGATAGAAAAAAAAGTGGGGCAGAGTTGAGTGGGGGAGGTCTGCAATTCCTTATCCAAAACTAATGGGGGCAGATGTATTTTAGCATTCACAACTTTTTATATTTTATATAAGATATTACATATGTCATTGTTAAGGAAAAAAATTCATGATACTTGTTAAAGAACAATAAGGCAGCCTTTATTCAAGGGGACCACTCTAATGGGATTTTGTAGGAGGGGAAAGAGACCAATCAGTTCACCTCTGAATACAACAAGGACAAGTGGAGATTTATAGTTGAGGAGCAAGGCGGGGGGCAGTGGATGGAAAATTACTAAGAGGTAGCGTAATTCTGTGCTAAACTGACCTAACAGGATTTTTGCTGAAGGTAAGCCAGGGTGATATGATATTGAAGGCAGAGAATAAGAGATTTGATCAGATATCAAAGGTGGGGATTTTAACTAAACTGACTTAGCAGGATTCGTGCTAAAACTGGACTGAATGGGCCAAGGACAGAGCCCAAGGTCAAGGCCTCATTAGAAAGAGTACACTTTCCAGTTGGGAAGAGCCTGACTCAAGTTTGGCCAAAGGAGAGAGTCTTTCTAAACTAACACCACCAGCAGGGTTTGGTGTAGAATCTCTAAATCGAACATCTTAATACTTCTGCAGCAAGACATGAATATTCACAGTAAGTAGGTTAAATAAAGATTATAAATAGCATTACCAGTCATGAAAATCTGTTTTCAGAGCCCTGTGATTTAGGAATTGCGAACTACATAACATAACCAAGTGTGTGTTAGGTGGGGTACAGCATAGGCAGCTTGGCAGCTTGGCAGCTTGGTTTCAACCCTCTCTGACTTAAAGCCTTGAAATTAATTGCATGACCTTCTGCAGGCATTTGAGTTTGTAGTCTCTGTGTTCCTAACCATTTTAAATTCTTTTAAAAAATATTGAGTAATTTCCTGCTTAATCTCTGTTGCTTCCCTAGAGACAAACTCATTGAAAAATAATTTATTTTTAATATCTGGGATTTAGCTTGACAGAGGAATGCCTCTGCTTATTAACAATATTTCCCTCTCTCCTTAGATGAAGATGAGGAAAGTGATGAATCAAGTGAAGAAGAATCCAGCTTGGAGAGTGACGAGGATGAGTCTGTATCTGAAGATGAGGTTTTTGATGATTCTATCTGCCCAACACGTAAGTTGGATAAAACCAAGCATTCTCTGTGAAGTGTGAATATGGACTGACAATACCGAAAAGGTCATTTTCTTGGTTTCTCACTTGTCTCATACTAAAATGTAAGGAAAGGACGGTTTAATAGGAATGATGTACAGTCTCATGAATACTTTTGGAGCCTCTCTGGACCATTTCCTGTTTCTTGAGGCAACCATTTGTGAGTGCCAAATTAAATAACCTGCAGACAAGCTATAGTTGGTTCAGATTCATAAATTATGCAGCAAAGTTTCATTTTATTAGAGAAACAGAAGATGTATATATATGTGTGTGTGTATAAAATATGTGTTTATATGTGTATGTGTGTATATATGTATGTGTATGTATATATGTGTGTGTATGTGTGTGTGTATGTATGTGTGTGCGTATACATATAAAGCGCTCCCTTTTTGCCAAACCATTCAGTTTTCATATTTCAAACCTGTTTTGTAAGGGCAATTTTTACCAGTTTCTTGGAGGTGCTTGGCAGCTTATATTCACTGTTTTCACTGGTGACACCAGTCTGAAATATCCTTATGGTCCAGTATTCTTACAGTCCAGACCAATATCCTTACAGTCTCAATAGACGAATGATTCAGTAGGGAAAAAAACCAAACTATTTCTTTTTGATCTCAAATGATCTTCCTAGATATTTTATATAAATTATAAATCAAATTTTAAAGCTTAATTTCAAATGATATTTAAATCTTGTTTTGATTTGGAAAATAAGAGTGTCCTTAAAATCATGTTTATGAGTAGAAGAGAGCTAAAAAATCTTGTAATGCGACTTGTTATTTTATAGAAGGATTGAATGGCTTGAACAAAGGCTCACAGTTAGTTTAGTGGTAGAACTGGGGCTAGACCTAATTTCTAAGTTCAATGGTAATACTGTTATATTTTCACATTCTTGATCAATTACTTGGTGGATAAATGTGGCTGTTAGTGTCGGTGTCGCGATACCATGTACACATACACACTGTATGCGGAGAGAGCTGATGGCTACTCTGAAGCTTTATTAAGTTGCACAGTCTTATATCGAAAAGAAGAATGACAAAGGAAATGGTTAACAGGCAGCGTCTGGCGCAAGATCAGAAGACCCTTTATGTTTTGGTAAATCATGTCCGTGTTGGCACCAGCGAGCCTTACAGCTTATCAGGGCGGAATGTATGAGAAACGGCTGCTTCACAATACTCTTCTTGGACTCAGGTGGCTTTGCCTGTCTTAGGTTGCCCCCCTCTGGGGATCTTACCCATCATTGGCTAACCAGCCTTCTCACCTCTGAGTCTGCAGCTTTTTATAAGTTGTTTACCATTCTGGCCCAAGGCTCGTTCCTTTGTTCCCACAGTTGGGGGCCTACAGTTAGTGTGATAATAGTGGAAATTAATATAGAGATACTGTATTGAATCTCATTCTGTCACATATCAGCATGTGACCTGAGACTTAACAGTTGTCACCTATAAAATGGAAAGAATAGTTTCTACATCACAGGGGCTGCATCTCTTGAATGAGATAATGTACATAAAAGGGCTAGCACCAAGGACTGCTCAAAACATCAATGCTAGTATTATAAGTACTATCATGCTTATTAACACCATTAATTTCTACCTGGAGTCATTTCTCCCTGGAGCCCTAAGTGTAATGGAACCTTGCTAGAAAAGATCCACAAATCGTCAGTAGTAATTCTAAAGCTCCAAAGTCCACACTTACAGTAATACTACATTCCCCAACAAGTGGGGCTGCTTTTTAATTTTTCCAAATTTTTATTTAATTTTTTTCCTGAAGATGTGATTTTCTTTTGGGGGGTAACTCAGTTTGTTTGTTTATTTAATGGAGGTAATGTGGATTGAGCCCAGGACCTCGTGCATGCTAAGCATGCACAATACCACTGAGCTATCCCCTCCCCCGAGGGCTACTTTTTTATTTTGACTGTCATTTCAGATTGTGACATGGGTCTCTTTGAACTGGCCATTCAACTTCGAGAGAAAAGGCTGGACATTGAAGAGGCCTTAGTTGAAGAAAAGAAAATTATCGATAACCTCAAAAAGGAATATGATACATTGTCCAAAAAAGTATGTTGGTCTGCCTTCTTCAGTTCTGTTTATCCTCTCCCCCAGCGCCACCTCCTTCTAGCTCTAACATTGCTGTTTCGTAGCCATGACATGAGTTAGGACTTCTTGTAAGAGAAGAGACTCCTCCGATGTTACATCCATTTACAGTTGTGGTGGGGGCCATTGCTCTTTTGATGGTTGGAACTTTCTTTAGCTAAATCACTGACCCTCAAAAATTTTTTGATTACATACGTCTGTAAGTTAAAAAATTGTGGAGCACATATACCTACAATAAATGTACATTTATTTATATATTATATTTGCAAACTATTGTTCTAATGTATTTTGTATATTATGACACATTTGCCAAAATGGAAATGTAAAAGAATAAGAAAAATAAATAAAATCGAAACTCTGTTTTCTTTCTGGACCCCAGCAGATCACTCTGACATGCTGGGGCACGTGTGTGCCATGTCAGAGACCACTAAGCTAAACTTTCTGTGTAATTATATTGATTGATTTCTGCCGTATCTGCTCAGTTTTCCTCTTAGGCACTCTTTCCTAGAGCAACATCACTTGACTCATATTCAGAAATATTTTTGATAGATTGCTTCTCCTCTTGCAAAAAGGATAAGATTTAGAAAACTTTCAAGTTTCGTAGGAGATGAAGCATGTGTTTTAGAAATACTAGAGTGAGTAGTTTCATCACTTTAAAAGGCCTTCTCCTCTAACTTATTGCGCTTATTATGACCCAGTGAGATCTGAACCATCATGATAAAGACATTCCAGGGTGGGACAGGTCTTCTGAGCTTTCATTCACAAAAACCTCTACAGCTCTGGGGTCACAGGAATGATTGAAAAAATGCTGTGGATCCTGACTTAGCAGGAAGGGAGTAACACACATTCCTGGGCTGCAAACTGATCATCCATTTAATCACAGCCCAACACGGCAGAATCTGTCATGCTCTGGCTTCCTCCTTCATTTACCACCCTGGGTATGTATGCACTGAATCTTGTTGACATCTCACACATGGGGCTTTTCCACAGGTGAAAATCGTGGCAACTAATCTGAACGCAGCAGAGGAGGCCCTGGAGGCTTATCAACGCGAGAAGCAGCAGCGGCTGAATGAACTACTGGTCGTGATTCCACTCAAGCTCCACCAGGTGAGGGGTCTGCATGGGTTGCCCTGCCCCATCTGAGCCACCATACCCAGGCTTTCCAGGGAAAGATTTGTGGGCCACAAGTGGGGAGAAGTGCGGTCCTGTGCTGAGAATTCTACATGTAGAGTGATGCCCCAACATTTTTTTAAAATAAATTTTTATTTATTTCAATTATTATTCATTGAATGGAGCTGTTGGGGATTGAACCCAGGACCTCGTGCATGCTAAGCATGCACTCTACCACTGAGCTATACCCTCCCCCCAACACCCCAACTTTTCCTTCTGAGATTGCTATGAAAGAGTAATATCAAAACATGTCTATTTCCCTGGGGCCCATTATCACTTTGAAAGTTGAATCACCTCAAGTCTGAAGAAACGAGCCTGTGGCTTAAAGGAATGGCTTGGAGTTTGAAATCTTGGCTCTTGGTCACATGTCACTTTCACACCATCTTTAAATAGACATGAACTAAAGATGCAAACATTACCTTCTCTTAATCTCTATTTGTTAATGAGGGAAGTTAAGATAAAAGGAAAATACTCTTTCTCTTTCTTCCTTCTCTTTGTCCGTTTCTCTATTTCACATGAACTACAACTTACATTAAAATGCCGAGATACGTATCAGTGAAGGCCAACTGTATTGTATTTGGTCAGGTAAAGAGAGAAAGTGGTATTTTAAAAGAAAAACCTAAGTTCAGCCTTACATATCAGTGTGTAGAACCTGACCCAGCCTGGATTAGCTATCTTTAGCAGTTTGCTTAACATGCCAGCCCTGACATGTCCTTCCATCCTTACGCGGTAGATACCAGGCATGGTCTACGTGGGAAGATTTCCTGTCCCCAGGGGGATGTAATGTGGCTTCTGTTGGAAAGAAGCCTCCTGCTTTTACCTTACTCAGGGGTGAGAGTTAGAAGGCCAAAGGTCGTGACCTAAACAAGGGGCAGAGTAAGAAGTGCGTCCCTTATGCTTTCTGTGAGTTTAACGTTTAGTTTGATCTTTGTCTGTTTGGGTTTGGGCTTGGTTTTGTTTCTGCAGATAGAGCACGTGGTGTTTGGAGAAATCCCTAGTGATCTTTCCGGAACGTTAGTCTTTTCTAACGGCTCCTTGGGACGGCTGCAAGAGCGAATCGTACAGCTCCAGGAGGAGAATGCCAAGCAGCAAAAACTGAACAGAGAATGCCGGGAGAGGCGTAAACAGCTCATCCGAGAAAAGAGAGAGATGGCAAAAACTATTCAGAGTGAGTAACCAAGCCCCTGGATTACCTAGTAATATTTATTGATTAGAGAGGGAACAATTCAATAACCATCTCCAACTTTGGAAAGAGTAAGTAATCACAGAATCAGAACCACTGAGAGGAAATGCACCGTCTCAGCTTCCTACTTACTGTCTCTCCTGATTCTATCAAAGGGCCGCTCTTCTATTTTAAAAGGATATAGGTCTTTTGTCACAGAAACAATTTCTCGTAATTGTTAAAGGTTTTATGTATAATAAAATATAGAATCGTATAACAGTCACCTGTGTACCTACTACCAGGCTTAAGAAATAAAACATTGAAGATACAACTGAAGGCCCATCTCCTTTCAATCTTGTTCCGCTGTCTCCTTCCTCAGGGTCCACCACCACGAGCACGCATGTCTGTGTATGGATGGCGCTTCCACACACAGTATATGAAATGCCTTTGCATGTTTTTAACTGTAATATTATTCACATCATTTTGCAGTTCACTTTATTAAACCAGCTTTTCAGAGTGACCCATATTGCTACCGATAATTAATTTACTCATTTTAACTGCTACTACAGTATTCTGTTGTAGGACGATGAAAGGGTTGATCTCTGTGGTCTCCTGTTGATGGATATTTAGGGTATTTCTAATTTTTCAGGATTGTAGACAGTGTTACAGCGAGCCTTCTTGTGCACATCTCCCTGTGTGTGTGCAGGAGGGGGTGAGTCCCCAGCACTGGGGTCTCTGGGTGAGAGCGGGTTGTGTGTGTTTTCTCTCCTGGAACAAGGTTAAGTTGCCCCCCAGAGTGGCTGTGCTGTTTCCTCTCCCTGCTCGCTTTACATGCCAGTTTGCTTAACACGCCAGCCCTGAAATGTCTGTTCCATCCTTACACGATAGATACCAGGCGTGCCGAGGTCCACGGTCTCAGCAACGCTCAGCACCTCTGGGCTTTAATATTTCTGCCAACCTGGATGGTGTTACAATTGTATTTCACTGTGATTTTTCTCCATTTCCTTGATTCCTTGAGGTTGAACATCTTCATATACATTCATTACTCATTTATTCATGTTTCCTTTCCTGAAAATTCCCTGTCATACACTTTGCCCAATTTTTTACTTCTGTTTTTTTATTTTTCTTATTGATTGTAGTGAGTTCTTTTCTATTATCTGTCTTTCTCTTTCCATTAATGCATTTCAAATCTTTTCTAGTATGTGTCTTCCTTTTCGTCTATATTTAGTGTATCTTTCTGGGATGCAGACGTTTTAAACCTTAATATAGTTTATTTTCTCAATCTGGTTATAGTTTGTGCATTTTGTGTATGTGTGTCCTAAGAAATCCTTTCTGATTTTTGAGGTCATAAAGATTTTTTTTTATTGTTTCCTCTATTAGTAATGCTTCTCACATTTATGTTCATAATTCACCTGGAATTGAGGTTTATAGTGTAAGATGTATAGCATGAAGACAGTTCTTTTAAAACACCTTTTGAATATTTGATATATGGAACATATGTGTAAGTGATGAAGTATTCTAGCTTTAATAACAATAATATTACCTGTACTGTATAGCATCTACCTTAATGCTGTAGAACTGTACACTGTCATAAGACTAAAATGGTAGATTTTCTTATGTGTATTTTACCACAATTAAAAATTAATATTTTTAAAAGAAAATTTGAAAGAAAAAATGGGAAGACTGTAGTGGTTGGTCAGTCCAAGTTGCTCAGATTTGTAGAGGCCAGTTTCCAATGAGTGCTGTTGGTTCTGCCCTCATGGGTGGCTGGATTATACAATTTAAAAATACATGTTGCAACTCTGTGTTTGAATAACGCTTATTTGAGGCGGAGTTTTCTCAGGTACAAGCCTGAGGCTCCAGTCTTTCTCACGTATTTCACATTCCTTTGGCTTCTGTAGCCTGACTGTTGTTTATGTTTGGAAACATTACTCGTCAAACCAAGGAACAAACTCGTATGAAAATGAAGAAAGAAGCTTATTTCCATTTAAGTAAACTCTCAGTTTGGAAAAATGTGTGAAGAGGGTGAAATGAAGTGTTCAAATTTTGGAATGTTAGTTGAAATTAAAAATAGTTCTATGTGGTGCAAGCTTTATTCAGTGACTTTCAGTTCTCCCAACCCCAGTTCATTTTCTGAAAGTGTGTTGTGAGTCTGGTTAGAGACTCATTTCCTAATTTTGAAGGTGAACCTAGGAGTGGGTTCCTTTCCTGTAACTCAGAGAACAAAGGCTTAGCAGTGATGAGAAAGCCTGCGGTCACTCGTTGTTCCCCACCCCCAGACCCAGTGGGAAAGAAGAGGGTCTAGAGCATGGGGGTGGGGAGGTAAGTCCTCTCTGTCAAGGAGGGCACAGCTTGCAGCCGTGGGGGTGTAGGATGGTGAGTGTTCCAGAAGCCTGTGTGTCCGCAGTGAACACTAACCAGCCCAGTCAAGTCAAGAGAAGCGTATTAGGCTGGCTGCAAAGTGGGAAGGGCAAGGACCAGAGTACCTGTCCTAGTACGTGGGGCTGTCAGGTAGAGGGCACCCCCTCATATGGGACTAGCTGGGGGAAGTCAAGGTTCTTACTGAGAGAGGCCAAGCAGGCAGCTACAGGCTAGCCACAAGCATGCAGATAATCCAATCACCGTTTCCCTTGTGTCACTGATTATCATGGCCACCACATTCCACAAAAGCATGGGGGTAGCACACACAAAGAACAGAAATGAAATCCAGGGAGGGCTTTGTGCAGAATGGCAGCCATGCCAATTGTACCATTATTATTCAGCCATAACAGTTATACCTGAATACAAATTTCTGTACCATGACAGAATTACATCATCTTTTTATACCTTAGGACCTTCAGACTTCACTTAGGGGACTCTGGTGACTGAGAGAAACTTGTAACAAGATAACATCTTCTTGGGGAGCTCAGACTCCATAGATGGAATTTTCTCCAGGTGTCCCACTGTTGGCATATTGAGGAAAGACAATAAACAAAAGTATAATATATTGCATGTTAGCTGGAGATAACTGTTAAGAGAAAATTTAAAGGGGACTGGGAAAGAGTGCTGAGGTCTGTAGGAGGCCAGGGAAGAGCTCCCTGGAAAAGTGACAGACTTGCTAAGATGTGGTCCTCCCTGGTTCAAGGACAAGGACCTGCTCTTGGTTACACCTTCAGAAATGAATGTTCTGGAAATGAGTCTTTTACCAGTCTCACAATTTGTTTTCAGAAAATGGGCTGTGTGGAGTGAACCATGTGGCCAACTGTCTGGAGAATTCCAGACAGTGGAATTGCAGAGAATTCCAGATGAGAATACTGGAGTGAGCCTGGAATGCTCGAAAAGCAGAAAGGTGTAAGTGAGGAGAGAGGTGTGGGAAGGAGGTGGCAGAGAATAGGGGCAGAGCAGGCCAGGCCAGGTAGGACCTTTTGAACCACCGCAAAGACTTCAATATTTTCACTTGCAGTAAGATGGAAACCTCTGTTAAGTGCTGTGCTGTTCTTAACACAAGATGTCGTAGAGATCAGTAACCAAAGAAATTAAGAACTCAAGAGTTCATAACCCAGTTGGGGCCTATTGATAGTCTGAGGAGAGGCAGATCAGAGTGTGTAAGCCAGTGGGGAAGGAGGAGTCCACTGCAAGCAGGAATTTGAAGGAATTTCATAGGAATTTGAAGCAGATGAGAAGACAGTAAGTCATGTGCATTTTAAGTAAGAAAATAGTAGGTTTTCTCTGAAAAGTAACAGAGGAAAGACCAACTGGTAACAAATCTTTCCCATCTCCTTGCAAAAGCTCTTCCCTAGAATGGCATTGGTGTTGGGATTGTTTATTGAACAACAGTGGGAGCTGCTGAACAACCTGACAGAGACTGTCTTCTTTTAGAAATGGAAGAAACAGTCAGTCAACTGATGATCAGCAAGTTTGGCCGTGTGATAAACCTAGAAGCCCTTCAGACACTTTCTGTGAATATGACACTTGAAGAACTGAAGATTAAAAAACTCCGAAAGGAGCTAGCAAACGCAAAGGAGATGAAGATGTGGGAGGTAAGGATGAGAGGGCAGGTGGCCTACTTTCGGTCAGTATGGGTGGAGGTGAGAAGTCCTGGTGAGCTGTAAGTGTTTCCCACGAGGCATCTGTACTGCTGGAGTTGGGTCCATGAGCCTCATGTGGCTCCCCCATGATCTGAAGCCTGGCTGTTTCCTTACTATTCACTTAGTTGGAAGGACTTGTCTATCTTGGGATGAGAGCATCAGCACTGAGGTTTGGGGGCCAGGATTCATGTAGATATCATGGCAAAGTGGCATGAAAGATTACAGAAAGACTCCACTTGGAGGTCTACAGCAATGTACAAATGCTCTGATGGTGTCAGGATCCTCAGAGTATAGCAGGTCACTTCTGATTGTATTATTCCACATAGCTTTTGCATGCTGTTTCCATCTGGAAAGTACAACACATCTTTAAGTAATACATTTTATAACAAGGTATATACTGTTTAGCCAGCAGGGTCTTAGAAATGTTAAATGTCTACGCTGTTCTCGGAACCATAAGATGAGGCAGTGCCCCAGTTACAGCCTGATTTTATAAGCCCACACATCATTATGGCTTCTCCAGTTTTCTGTCTTACTGGTAGGAAGGGAAGGAGGAGAGGTTCCTAGTGCTATCTTATCTTTTCTTATCCAAGATTTGCACTATACCAGGAAGACGCAAATTGTTTAAGTGTTCGCATCCATGGGACTGGTCCCTATCGGAGTTTTGGAGATAACATGTGTAATCTAAAATCATCTGTTGGAGCAATAAGAGAACAAAGGAAAGCCACTGGCAGATGTATGGCCATTCAAACTGGTCACCTTGAGGATCCTGGAAGACTAGGGAAAGAACAATATAGTAAAGTTTCCTGCTTAAGGGACCTTTCTCCCTTTTAATTAGCGAATATCAGCACTCTGTACACGTACTAAGTTCATGCCTCAACAATGGAGTGATATCTGTGTCTGTCTTATTTTTATCTACTTCCATCCTACTTAATGTTCTTTTCTCTAATCAAACCAGACCCAATGCAGTTGCTTTTGATTGTATTATTGGCTTATTATGTTTCCCTATATGCCTATCACTCCGTTTGCTTGATGGTTTGGATCAAAGCCAGACATGCATTTTTCTCTCTTTCCTCTCTCATTCACTTAATCCATTTTGCATCTCCCTGCCCTGGTAGGAAAAGATTGCTCAAATGCGATGGGAATTGATGATGAAGACCAAAGAACACACCAAAAAGCTTCATCAGATGAATGATTTATGTATTGAAAAGCAGCAGCTTGATTCTCAGCTGAATACACTACAGAACCAGCAGGTATGTTCCTTTTCTGCAGACGCTCTGTCAGAATCGAGGACGTTCTGTAAAGGTAGTTATTCTCAGGAATATCAAGTGCTGGCTTTTAAACAAGCCTTGATCTTGGAACGTTTCTGGCCCACTGGGGTCCCTGAGGACACTGAGCTAGCGCTGGTACGTTGCAATGAACCTGCGCGACTAGCCTTACTGTCCCTCCTGGGTGCCATGAATTTATATACGTACTAATTTTGGGAAGTGCCTTGGCCCTAGAGAGGTAAGGTTATTTAGGTATAAATAATAAGACCAGTATGCTCCCTGAATTTGGTGTCAAAACATCCAATATCAGTTACTTCGTTTGCCCTAAAGTGGGCGTCCTGAATTGACACTTGTTACTTTTTTTATGGCTTTCGACTTGCTCTTACACAGTATTTACCCAGCCTAGCAGAGTGGTACTTAATACATAACATGTGGTGGATAATACTTACTTAACAGAGTTTCACCCCCTTGGGACCTAGCACATTTGTGGCATTTTCTGAACTATATGCCGTCATCTTATGGTAGTATCTGCAAGAATGTTGGGTTTCCCCCTCCTCTCACGCTACGAGTTTTCTTTATGTTTCCTTTAGGCGCCTTGGAAATGGTTTAAGTCAGGGGTTCTCAAAATGTGCTCCCCTGAAGAACAGCATCCGCACCACAGGGGGCACTTGTCAGAGATGCAGGCTTGGGCCCCACCCAGACCGACTGAATCGGCCGCTCGGCGGGAGGGGCCAGGCAGTCCACCGAGGTGATTCTGCCGCGTGCTGGAGTTGAGATCCCTGGTCTAAGCACAAGTCCAGAAGAGATGATGAATAAGAGGCTTTGGGAGGTTTACAGTTAGAATGAGATGGGAGAGGAAGTCCGTAGTTTGAATAGCAAGGGCCCTTGGTCCACTGAAGCGTTTCTGTGGGAGACGGTGAGCTCCGTGTCCTTCCACTCCGCCTTCCTGAAGCCCCTGCTCCACTGAGGAATTTTCGAGTGAAGAGTCAAGGCGCTGCTCGCGAAGGCTGCTGCCTTGAAAAGTCTTCACAGAGTGTTGAGTAAAGTCTGTCGACGTGGTGTGCTTTGCTAAGTCCAGATACACTGGAAAGAGTTTGGAGGCAACAGATCAATTGAATGGGAAAGGAAATTAGTAGTATAGATCTCTTTACATAGTATGTCTTTACATATATAGTTTAACCTGTATCGTCTCTTCCCATTAGCTATCTCATTTAATCCTCAAAATACCACTCTCCACAGCTCAGAGTAGGTGAGTCACGTGTCCATGCTCTCAGGGCTGGAGCCGGGGAAGTTCACTCTTAAACTGAGGTCTGTCTGCCTTCAAAGCTTACGCCACTGCTATTATTCTTATCATAGTCTAGGCGCGAATAGGGGTGTAGACGGCAAAGGTGAAAGGCCAAGGGCCAAAGATATTTATAAGTAAGAACAGCCAAAGTTTGTTTGGATATGGTGACCAGAATGAGGGAAAATCTCAGGTGACCTCAGAGGGATGGGCATGAACTGGGGTGTGAGTGGGGCATGCATTTAGCTGTACATAACCAAAAGCCCCTGGAGAGTAGCTTAAACAAATTGGGGTTGTTTTCCTCACTTCACAGGAAGTCTGCAGGAGATGACAGGGGCTTTGGCTTAGTGGGTCTGTGATGTCAGGGCCAGGATCTGTGTGATTCTTTCCCTGATTCTTTGGCATTTCCTCTGGAGTCACAGCTCTGTTCCATGGTCAAATGCCAGCCTCTCGTGTCCCTCTCATTAAGAAGCCAGTGCTTTCTACTATGTCTACTTAGCCACTCCAAGCTGGAAGAGAGGCTGGGTAAGGCTAGTGTTTAGCTTTTGTGGCCTCAGAGGCACTGGGCACAGGTAACCCCTGCTTCCTAGGAAGGGCTGCCACAGTGAGTGGGGTGATGGGCGAATTATGGACTTTTGGCTTCAGGTAACCTGGTTCTAATGCTGCTTCCAGCCCTTCATATTACAGTGACTTGGGCCAGCTCATGAATCTGTCAGCTTCGGTATCTTTACAGCTGGAGTAACACCGCCCTGTTCAGAGCCGTGAGGGTTCTAAGACAGCACATGTAAGCACCTGGCACAGAGCTGGTACTAGGTCTTACGTCCCTCCCTTTAACGTGCATTCAGATTTATCGAGCATCCACTTCTGTGACAAGCTCTGGGGCAGGTGCTGGCAGGGTGGTGAGGTCCGGGCATACCCAGCCCTACCTCTCAGGCACAGGATCCAGCAAGACAGACAAACATCAAACAAGCATTTAGTTTGAACTGTATGAAACTACAACTTTTTAGGTTAAAAATAGTCAAATATCACAAATTTCAAATGATTCAGTCTAATAACTAGTGACGTGGGATGGATGATTTGATAGAACAGAGTGTGGGAAATTCTAACCTAGTCCACGGGGTAAAGCAGGCCTCGCTAAAGTGAGGTTTGAAGCATAAGCAGGACTCAGCTGGGCAGGGGAGGACGTCAGACGAGGAAATAAATTCCTATTCTGGAAAACAAAACGTGGGGCTGTATAGGAAAAGGAGGTATCTTGTCTTTTATAATTCTAGCGATGAATCCTGTAGGGTCTGAATGACTGAGAGCTATGTTAATGAATTACCCTCTTACCGGGGACTTGCATTTTCAGAGTTGTTTATTAGCCAAAGGGATATATTTCCAATGGTAGGAGTTCAGTGGAGGAACTGAGTGCTTCTTAAAAATAAGAGGTGATGGTTATTAAAATGGACTGTAAGGCAGACACACCTAACAGACTTACTAAGACAGGGAAATCTCCATATTCCAAACGAGGCTTAAAGCAGGGAGGTGTTTTCTCTCAACAGGGCAATGTCTTCCAGAGCCTTCGGAAAGCAGATATTGTGGCGAAAGAGAAGGTAACTGAATTGATCCAAGTCCAGGCAGAAAAGATTTTGGCCTTAAAGGAAGAGATTGCTGTTTTGCGTAAGAAAGGTGGCCTTATCCTCCCACCCATTCATCCTCCACCAGACAATGAATGAAGCCCTGGGGCCTTTTATTTTGCTTTTATCCTACTGTTTTAAAGTGAACTTATTTAAAAGCTGAAAACCAGATCCAGTCATGTCGTTTTAATAATTTTTCCCCACTTCGTTGTCTTAGAACTGACTGTAGCGCCCAACACCTCCTTGTTATTGAACTGAACCATTTTCCATGTGTTTGGAACCAACTGGATCGAATATGAAGTCTTAGAAGGCTGTACCTCAAATCGCCAGAAAGCGCCTGTAATATATCCTGCTTTAGGAAACTTGTTTTGTAGTTATCTGAATTTTTAGTCTTTGACAAGAAAATCTATCATTCAAAGTAAACCTCCTTTTCTCAATCATTGGATCCTTGGAAAATAAACTTTGAGGTTACCAGGTATTCTCTGAGAGGACACGAGAAAGAGACAAAATATTTTGCCAAACATATCTGGGAGAAAAAGAAATGCAAATTAGAATTTTGACATTGTTAACTTCAGAAAGCCGTTACTCGAGGGCTCAGGCTTCAGGAAATGCAGACCGATAGAGCAGAGCAGTTGCTTTAGACTGGCAGAAAGGAAAAATAAATCAGCTTCCTGAATCACCTATAGTTTTAGCAATCCTCAGCTCCGGGTGGAGCAGAGAAGTGTGTTTTGCGAAACGGTTAAGGAGGCTTTTCTCCAAAGATGTCTGCAGCTCTACCAGTATTCTAAGTATTTCCTGTAGTTTCTCACGTCCTGTGCTGTTTTCTTTCAGGTTCTACTTGAGTCATTTGCTCGTTTTGATATAGATCAGGAACTAGATTCCGTCACTCTGAGAGACCGTCTCTAACAGTCACTTTCTATTGTACCTAACATTGTAAACTAATTTAAGAGCATTCTTTTGGCTTGGGGTTAAGTGGTCATTGGATTCATTTAAAAATGATTTCACTGATATTTGAATTCCTGTTGGTAAGAGAACATAGCACCGGCAATTCTGTGCTCTGTGGGTCCACTGAACCGAGATGTCCAGAGGCTGTCCCAGAATAGGACTTGGTTACTGAGAAGGAAGGGTAAAGGAGGCAGTATTGCATCAGTGTAGAAGGTGACTCAGCAATGTCCAGTCTTCCTAACCTGTGGCTAGTCTGCTCATCTGCCCCCCGAAATTATAGACAGGACTTGGGTTCTTGGTAGGTTGGAATATGTATGTTAGATGGGGCCACTTGGCCCATTGTGTCTCTAAGATCCTTTCGTATTCCTCCTTAAGAGGTCCAAACAGCTTATCGTTTGTGCTCATCACCACAGATCTCTGAAGGAGTGGCTTCTTCACTGGAGAGCACCCTTCATCACGTTCTCTGCTGTATGCCCAAGACTGTGCCCTTCCAGCATTTAAGAAAAATGTGCTAGTCATAGCTCTGAGTGCTTTGCTGATTTATTCCTGCATAAAAAATTACCCCCAAATAACAAGCACTTCTTACCTCACCCAATTTGAGGGTCAGGAATTGGGAGCTGCTTATGAGCTGGGTGTTTCGAGCTCAGGTCTCTCCTGAGGTTGTGGTCCAGCTGTGAGTTGGGGCCGTGGCCATCTGAGGCTTGGCTGGAGCTGGAAGGGCTACTTCCAAACCTACTCACCTGACTGGCAGGAGGCTCCATTCCTCACTGGCTGGCTACTACCTGGATGAAGTGGGTGGTCGCTGAGGAGAAACTGTCCCCTTGGTTGTGGTGGGAGCTGGGGGAAGTTAAGTTACTGTCCTGGGCCTTATATTATTATCAAATGAGGGATTTGGGTAAGCTCTGAGGCACCTTCCCATTCTGAAATCCTGCGATTCTAATCGCAGCCAGAATGAACTTAGAATTTATGAGAGCTATGTCAGTGAGTCCACATGTCTATCCATGTAAGAGTAAAACCAATCAGCCTAGTGCAATTTGGCAAAAAAAATAGTAACCCTAAATCACTGAAGTTTACCATCTTAAGGCCTCTGTGCAAGCATGTTTGGGATTTGACAATATAGTTAACTTGTTTTTATTTTGAGTTAGACAAGATGCATAGGTAGCTTTAGTTTCATTTCTACTTGACTCCAGCCTTAGTCTTGAATCTATGAGCATCTGACCCTTTGGAAGGTTTAGCTTCAAACCGGGACACGCCAGGGTGCAGCCTTGGTGGGGGTGCGTGGAAAGCTGTCCTGTTTCCCTGATCAAACTGTGCTCTTAGAGATGGCAGCCTCACCTTTGAGAGAGGCCAAAAGTCAGTCTAAATTGAGTTCCTTGTGGCTTAGTTGTTAATGGTCCTTGGCTATTTTGCACCCTCATCCATAGCATTATCAAATCTCAACTCTGAAAGAAAAAGAAACTGACAGCCCCTTTGTCAGCTCTTCACAGGACAAGAGGTTACTCATTCCTGCTGAGTCTGCCTGTCCTGTCTGGCTGCCACGCTTAGAGTGGTCTCCGAGCCCTGAGCTGAACTCTGCGCCCCCACCCACTGCTGCCCAGCTAGGCCGTACTCTTCCTTCTGATTAACTTATACAGCTGTTACTGACTCAGACTTTTAAAAGAATCTAAAGTAAAAACTAAAAACTACAATGAAATTGAATATCTAAGCTGTTTCATTTTCTAGGCTAAAATTTAAAGGCCTATGCCCTAGCCTATTTTTTCTTTCCTGCAATTGGCTAAGGTAAATATTCACATTTATCTCATTTAACATGCCTTAGAAGTGCTTTTTCTTTCCCAGACTTTTTTTTTGAGCCAAAAGCATTCAGTGTTATGTAAGGAAGTGTCATAAATATCACTTCCATAAAGTTCAACAAAATTTACTTAATTTTTTAGTGCTTGATGATCCCAGTGGTTGTCAAAGGGAGATTTTTTTTAAAAAGCCAAAGGGCCGGAAGTTGAGTTACAGCCCAGATCTGAGGCCATGAGCCCAGTCGCGCTCCTGGAAGTGACCTCAAGGCCCTCAATGCCAGATTGAAGTCACAGTAACTCGTTTCTTCTCTTCCCTGTTCCACTTCGCCTTTCCTAGCATTTCCATGTTCCTTACAGTCCTTCATTTCTTAAAATATTTTTAAAATACAGCTTTTCTGAAAATCATGTTCCAGTTTAGCTGTTGGATGGAAAACGATGCAAGACTCCCTTCTGGCCAGCAGAGGGCGACTTGTCCCAGACCATCAGAGTCACTCCCGGGGCTGTCCCAGGTAGGACCCTGTTTATGTAAGTTGTGACTAGAGGCTGAAGCCAGGGTCTGGCACTGAGGACTCTGAATGGGATTAAGTGTCTCAATGGCATTTCATCTGTGACTTAACCTGACTGAAGTCTAGAAGATATCTTTCCCTCTGGAAAACAGGTAGTGTGTTAGGGCTTCCACTGCAAGCGTCAGCGTCCATCTAGTTGCACGTCCCCATACAAAGTTTAAGCCTCTGGTTGGATGGCAGTAATTAAATGTTGACTTTAAACAACTAGTGAGTCAACTCGTCCGGCCATGCTGGTGTATCTCTGGAGAGAAGGGAAGTGAATTTTACCAGGCACCGCATGCTCGTGTGTCACATAGCACTTAACTAAATGGTATTCTGGAGAAAGTATACCCACCTCTGTAGAAAAGATTAGTTTCATCCCCTCAGTCTGACCAAAGCTTTACCTCCAAGTCCATCAATAGAACGCGAATCTGCTCCGTGCCTGCTGTCCACCGTCTCCCTCCTGGACCAGCTATCAGCGAATCCGTGTTAATAAAATAACTGACATTCAACATTTAAAGAGACAAAAAATTAGAAACATCTGCTGCCTTTTCCAGCTCTCCTCTTGAGGGATCGTGGAAAACGTTACCAGTGGGTGTTTCTTTAAATCTGCAGACTGAGTCCTAACAGCTAAAAAGAATGCCGACTCCTGTGACTCAGCTGAAGGTTACAAGGGAGACTAGACATTTATTTAGACGTTACAGTGTTTATTTGTACAGAGATATGTTGCCGCAGATTACTGATTCTGGAAGATCTGTTAATGCTTATAGGACTATACACATCTTAGACTCACGGGCATCGTCTGAAAAGGCTTCCCGTGGCCCCGGCCTTTTCCTCCCGGTCACTGGTCGGCGTGCTGAGGGGCCTCCCTCCGTGGGCGCCTCCGCGGCCCCCGCAGCCTCCCGGGCAGCTGCCGCCTCAGTGGGTGTTGCTCTTTCCCAGCTGACGCCTGTTTGGTCGTTCCTTCTTTGTTTTCCCTCTCCTGCCCCAGTGGGCAGGATTCCCTATGTTGCTCCAGAAGTATACAAACACATATACATTTATTTACAAGTGCATAAATATATAAATATGGCTATTATAGAAAAATAAATACCACTTTCCTCTTTGAAAAAAAAACCAAAACAAATAACACTATATATAGTCTTTCTGGGATAGCGGCTTTTGCCTAAATTGTAGGAGGTGGTGTTTCAAAAGCCATGGGCAGCGGTGGGCTGGGGGAGAGCTGCCTCCCATGTTCCTGCCCTCTGTAGGCCCCCGCGGGGTGCTGGGGACACCAGTCTCCTCTGCCCGCTGGGCAGGAGTCAGGACTGTCCACCTCTTCAACCGGGACGAGGCCCAAGCAGCATGGCGGCCCTGGGGGGAGAAGTGGGAAATGTCAGAGTCCAGCCTGACCAGGAGCCAGCGCTCAGCACTGCTGGGCCTGCCTCTACCTGTGACGGGAGCTGGTTACGCTGGCCTTGAAGGAGGACAGAGACCTACAACTACAAGGACATTCGACCTGGCGCGGGCCACCTACGTGCTGCCTGCTCATCTCAGCAGTGGGACTGTGATCTTACCCTGTACCTGGGAGCAGATGAAGTCAGCTGAGCCCAGGAACTGCGTAAAGAAGTCCTGCTCTGTCCAGGTGGGAAGTCCACCCACTAGTCTACCCTCCTGCCTTCTGGTCACAATCATCCACTTAGCTCATTCCCCCAGGTGGCGCGAGTCCGTGTAAAGGACACGGGTCTGGCTCTACGAGGTGCTTGTCTTGGTATTTCATCTCCCAGAGACAGAGTCTAGGACTTGCGTGTGAACTGGCATCCACGCCACGGAGGATCATCAGCTAATTCTGACACAGCCTGAGCCCCAGCCCAGTCTCCACGGACTTCTGACAGGTTGGCACAAGACAGTGGGCTGGGGGTGGCGTGTACTGGGCCCCTTGGAGAGAAAGTTCTGTAGAAGCACAGAGCTCTGAAGATGATGTGAGAACTTGGCGTCTCACTGATGGGTGCAACCTCATTCCTTCATGACGAGACAAGACCCAACAAAGCAAGATATTTGGGAGTGATTAGAGAATGCCTCTTGGGGTGATGAGAGGCAATGGGAATTCATGAATGGCCTTGAAATGCCGAGGCCAAAGGGGCTTCTTTCTCTGAAGTGGAGGAGTGCCCTTTCTCTCAGCCTTTGGGGACACAGCTTGCCATGGTGGAATAGGACC